CAGGCAGTTATAGTTTTATGATTAAGAGAGAGTTCTGGAACCTGATAGCTAGTGTTTGATCACAGTGCCACCTATTTCTAGCCAAAAGATCTTGGTTATGTAACTTTGACTTGTCTGGGTTTCCTTATGTATATGTATTTTGGAGGTTAAATAATAAATGACAAAATAAAACCCCTATAATTGGTAGGCTCTAACAACTAAACCTGTTGGTATTATAAAACTTTCCTAGCAGCTCTCACTCTATGATCAGTATTCCTACGATCTAGTTTTTACTGTTTAAGCACTGGAGAGTAGCAAATGCTCTGCCTTACCTTTGTGTCTATCTTGACAGGATGGGACTTCGGTGGTGTGTAATGAGTCTCTGCTTCTATGGGATCCTGAAGGTTGATGCCTCAGGTAAGTGAATGACTTTGGACAATCAATTGAAGTTTAAGTCATGTTCAGGGCAATGTATCCACTCTTTCTGAAGACTAATTTAAAAGAAAATAATGTTTCTGTCCATTATCTTCTGTGGTAGCACAGAGTCATAGGTTTGACAGACTTGTAGGAGGAATCATTGATGTCTCTAGTCTTCATGGACACAGGACCCTTTGGTAATGTGGTCCACTGAGTATAGATAGAGGACATTTTTATCACCTTCAAGACAATTAGAAGACTGCTTCGTTTCCCTTACCCTAGGACCAATGGGAAAACAAATGGCAGTGACAGTAGCACTGTCTATTTCTCAAGCTTGACCCTGCAGTGAGGAAGGCCTCAGTGGTTAATAGATAACTAAGACCCTAAAAACAAACCAGACACCAAACCAAAAATCAGAAACCAAATCAAAAACCAATGATGAGTTTCTGCTGTAATACTTCTTTATAGGAAAAAAAAAAAAAGGACTTGTCTATAGGCTCATTCTTTCCTGGGAGGTTACTTTGTAAGAGGAGCCAGCCAAGACCTTTACTGAGTTTGAATAAATGAGGAGCCATTATCAACCCGGATCATATGAATTCAGAGTTGGAAGGGCCTTGATATTAGAAAGTACATGTTTTGCCATCTCCTCTCATTTCCAGCATTGCTGTTCAGAATCATCCCCTGGTACTTCTAACTAGTGATCACCCATTGTATTTTTGGATTGATTGCATTTTTAGAAAGTTTTTAGTACAAACAGAAATTTTTCTTTGTCATTATCATACATGTTTTAAGTTCAGCTGTATGATTGAAACAGAAAATAGTTAATGCAATGTTTCTTTAAATTTAATACAAGGAATGTGGGGATCCTCATTTGAAAAAAAGATTCCCATGTATAATTTTTTTCTCCTGAATACCATGGACTATACTTTGAATATCTTTGCTTTAACTCTTATTCTATGTGAGAAGGCTTCAGAAATGTTGAATCAGCGATTATATAATTAGGACCCCAGTGTTCTGCAATATATAACTTCAACACTGCTTCACGTGGCATGGATTTGAGCCCTCCTACCAACCTGATCATCCTTGCTGGGTGCATTTCAGTTTTCTATGCCACTTAAAGCATTGTATTAGAAACCAAAAATAGCTCTAAAGGCGGGGTAATAACTAGGACAGAGCTGAAAGTAGAGATAACTTCTAAACTTGTTGGCCCTTTGGGACTTCACAGAGGAAAGGATATATTTTAACAAGGGATGATATTCATTGAGATATACTGCTATATAGATGGTGTATACTAGAATCACAGCATTTCTCCTACTTGTTTGTGTTTCTCATTTGATTGTGACTGACTCCATGAGTCCTGATTTTTAAATATGATATGTCAAGAGCTTTGTAATGTTTTGAACAACTAATAAAAAAATAATAATTATAAATAATAAATAAATAAATAAATATGTTGACTATAACCCCCACTGTTAATTTGCTCTTGTTTGATTTAGTTCTGTTTCAATGTTAACTACTCACAGTCCTTCCATTCTTGTCCATTTCAACTGAAACAACCCTGCCAATCACTTTTTATTCCTCTCCTGTCTTTCATTTTCTTCATACCAGATATTATTTCCTGAATGACATTAACTCTTTTCTTCTCTCTTCTTCTCCTACCTGTCCTCCTTCTGCTCCTCCTCCCCACTCTTTTTTCTCCCTAAATACCTGTTCTCCTCTTCTTTCTTCCTTCCCTCCCTCTCTTCATCATTCCTTCCTTCTCTTGGTTTTAGCTACCCGAGGGCACAGATTTGTCCATCTGTTTGATCTCCAAACATTTGGTATGATGAATGACACACAGAGACATAGTAGGTGCTCAATACATACATGTTAAATTGATGAATAAGTGTTCCTCCATATCTCCCTCTTTTTAATACCCCCTCAAACTGGCTAGCTTTATACTAGAAATGTTTAAATCCATACTAGTAATTCATTGTGGTTCCATGTTCTGCTTCACCTTTAAGGAAAAGGAGAGGTGACCATGTCTCTCTTGTTGAAAGATCAAAGAATTCTGAAGTTCTTGAGAGCTGGTTCCTCCTCAGTGGAACAGAGCTGCTTTTTTGAATGACCTTTACTGTAATCCATCCAAGGAGTGTCCCTTCCCCAAATGCCATTGGTAAAGGAGCTCTCTACCCAGGAACTGTGACTCATACTTCTGCCAGGGGAAGCTGACTTCTTGAATAAGATGAGTTCTCATTCCAGCCCCATTGAGTCACCATGGGAGCAGGAAACATGCTGTAATCCCCTCGGCCCATCTGGCACTTACTCATTTGCCTTCCTCATGAAGAGGTGTATTGTGTCTGCCTCAGGGCCGCACTTCCTAGTCGGAGGGAAAGGAGTCAAAAGGAAGCATTGTTGACAAAAATAAAGGGGGCAACTGACTGTGAGGAGGAAAGGGACCATTGCGCATCTTGAGGGATCAACCAAGTTCTCTGTGTGCGAAGGTATCGCTTTTTATGATGGAGATGCTGGCTGACCTGCTGGTCTTCAATGAGGCTCTCTGTGCTTATCTTAATGGAAGCATCAGTTTTTAAAAGGAGCAAAAAGAGAGAGAGTCTGAAAACCTCAAAGCACTCTACATGCATATGGGATTATTAAGAATCTTATCTGTTGTTTGGGGACTGTCTATGGAATCTCCCTTTAAAGAGAAGTTTCCAATTTTAAAAAAGGAACCATAACAACTTCATGGTTTAGTGGTATGCAGTGAGGCACGGCATTCTGACTTCCAGATATGGTCTTCTGGTAGCAGAACTATGATTTCTTACCCTCCAGGGGTGGGTTTGCAACATTGATATCTCAGGTAGTGACAAAAGCAAATAATAATTTTTTTTTAAAAAAAATCATCATTATTTCCTTTTAAGGAATTAAATCATAGATAATTATAAAAATGATATATAATTATAATGTAGTAGAGTAATAATAATAAGGTTCCCTTTGTTTAAAAAGCAGTTTGCATTTTACCTATTCAATGTCATTTGGTTCTCACACCTAGATTATCAGGTGGCTGTGGCTATTAAACTCCCCTTTTTTGGATAAGAAAACTTAGAATCAAAATGGCTAAGTGAACTGCCCAAAGTCACACAGGTAATAACTTAGCATAATTGAGACTTCAACTAGTTTCTCAGTTCCCAAGACCCATATTATTCTTACTAGATATGCTTCTTTGAGGCCCTGGCATAATGTAAATAATTTAGAAAGAAGTCATGATCCATAGAATTACAGGTAATCATTTTGAAGGAGTCACAAATAATCATTTTGCTAATTGTTGAAGAATTACTCAGTAATGGTTTTCTGTGCTGCCTAGACAAGGAGTGTCTTTACAGTTTCAAGACCTTTTCTTCGGAAGGAAAATCATGACAATCCTAATTTCAAACCTCAGTATTCTCATTTTTGCTTTTTATAGTATTTAGTACTTCCACTATTAAACTCAAAGAAGTTTCCATTTGCAACAATTAAAAAGGAAACTCTGGAGTCACCACACATTTCTCCTTGGTATGTTTCCTATTAGCTGCATGTTAGAAACGTAAACTGTTAAAGCTGCCTTCAGACTAGAAATAAAGACGTGGAACCGTTGATTCCAAAATGGGGGAGACAGTGAAAGTGACACCATATCCTGTATGGTGAACTTGAAAGATATTGCCTCAACAAAAAACATTTGCTGTGCAGATCATATAAGAAAGAACATGCACTGCATTATTTCCTCAAAATATGAATGTACCTATGGATCTTTGAATATAGCTTTTTATTTCAAAGTCAACAGTTAACTATATGCTAACTGCAGGGTTAAACTCCAAAATATTCTCATTGGGGTAAAGGGGCTGTTTTATAGTTTAGGAAATGAAGAGCCAGGGAGATAGCTTAAGTACATGATGCTCATGATAACATGTCTGATAGAGCTGGTTTTGAAGGCTGCCTTGACCTCAGAAGCAGGGCTCTTTCCTTGATATCACATTGCCTTGTTTCTGCTATTGAAAGTAAAATCCTTTGATTTCCCTTCCATAATGTTTTTATGAAATTTGAAGAGAGTGGAGATGATCTATTGATTTATTGGGCATGAATTAAACAATACAAAATAAACAAATTAGTAAAGACACTGAGTTATGCTAGTAATTTACCATATTAAGTTCTGATTGTTGTTTTACTGCACAAGCTGTTTAATGACATTTAAAAAAATCATTTCATCACTTTTTGTCACTATGTTCTGACCTATAAACCAAACCAGCCAACCAACTAACCAACAGCAGCAGCAGACCCCAACTAATTCAAGCTTGTTTTCATTAAGGAAGATTATGCCTTATAGACACCCATGAGGTACACCCTTCTTATTCCTCAGCTAAATGGCTTCTAAGGACAATTTTAACAACAATGATTTTATTACCTTCTAAAGTTAATGCATTTGAACATTCTATTTTCCAGAATCTAGGGTGAAAAGGGGGAGGTTCTTGTTTTTTTTAAAAAGTCCTACATTAAAATTTGAGAAAAAGGATATAGAATAAATGGCCAGTGGGATGCCATGAGAGAGCAGAGATGTTAATAATTGTTTCAAGAGGTAGTGAGGAAGCCTTCTCCATCAATGAATAAGTGCCCTTTCCTTGGAGGAAATGCATTTCTTATTTGGGAAGAGAATAGTACAGGGTAACAGAAAGGATAGTGTAAAGGCTATTCGAAACCAAGCCAAGCTGGAATGAGAGGTTGGGAACAGATTGTGGAGCACAGGAATCCATTCAGAAAAAGACAATCATTGTGTTTAATGTATTTAAATATAGTTGGCTAGAGTGCTTCCACTCCCCAACCCCAAATTCTATCTTATTTCTGCAAGGACGTATCATGTCTTTAATGCTACGTAATGGTCCTTTCAGCTTTTGTTAGGAATTCAATTTGTTGCCAGCCTCAATGGCCTCATTTTATTTGAATGTGCTTTTGAAAAACTCCACACTCAGACGTGCTTGTGACATTCATCC